GAAAACGATGGCTTTTATTAATACGACATGAGTTACAATTGTCTAATTAATTTGAACTAAAAGAAAGAGAAGTAGACAACTACTGGAAAACCTTATTCTATGGATGGCCTAATCGATGATGCCAAATGGAGGAAGAAGTTCGATGCATGGTGAAGACAGTGGGCTGTAGGGATGATCTTTCATACATGTCCTTGGTCGCTGTGCCCTTGAATAGTGGGGTTTTGGTTGCCAGGTCCTTTATAACAAAAACAAAAGAGTAGAATTCGATGAGAAAGTGATTATCAATGCATAAACGGTAGATAGAGATGATATTTCGAGATAAAGATGGCACATATAATTCGTTTTTAAGAATGAGGGGTGTGTGAGATGTGTGAAGAATTAGAGAGCCAATATGAGAAATTTTTAAACATGAACCATCACCAATGACCAATTCTTCAGTGCCATCGTATAGAGAGTGGATTGAGAGGTTGTTCAAATCATTTCTGGCGTGAAAGCTTGCTCCACTATCAAAAATCCAGTTTGTTGTGTTCGGGGCACCGGACGGATTCATAAGATGAGCTTGTGCATTGTTAACCTGCATAAGACGATTAGGAGGAGCAGGTACAGAGGCAGTTGGGAATATCTTCTTAAAGGTGAAGCAGTTGCTCAACGAATGTCCTTTTTTATGACACCATTGACATTTGCCCAAAAAAGGGTGTTGTCCTGTTGCTTGAGGTACTTGTTTGGTGGGAGTTAGAAGTAGCGCTGGATTGTTGTCTTGGAGAGAAGGCCATTATTTCTTGGTGTTTTGATGATGTGCATAAAAAACAGATGCAGGTTGGTGGATTCTTGTGGTTGCAGTCTGCTGAGCCAAAGTAAGTTCATGGTTGATAAGCTTTTCATGAAGCTCGTTGAATGAGATTGTGGAATCACGTGCATGAATTGCATCCATGATGGGTTTGTAGGTAGTTTAATCTAGGCCACAGACAACAGCATCAATTATGTCTTCCTGAACGAGTTTCTTGCCAAGGATCGCAAGTTCATCAACAACTGTTTTAATTGCCTGCATATACTCCGTAATGGTTTGATTTGGGGTTTCGGTAATTTGTTTAAGTCGGTATTGGAGTTGTTTGATGTGTCCTCTGGAGGGGAAGCGTATGTAGCCGCTAGGGTTTTCCAAGCTTCAAGAGAGGAGACGGTGTTTGTGATTAAAGGAACGATTTGTGGAGAAAGACTTCCAACTAGGGCACCGAATAAGAATCGATCTTGTCTGAGCCACTTTTGATAGTCGGGGTGAGGAGTAACTGTGTCGTCGGTGTCAGTGGTTGGTTTAGGGGATGGATAGGTGTTGTCGATGTACCGAAAAAGATCAAGACCCTGCAGTAAGGTTTTGATCTGCGTTTTCCACCCAAGATAATTAGTGGATGTCAATTTTAGAGTTGCTGGAAAATTGACAATCGTGATGTCTTTGAGAATGGTGTTGACATTAAGAGATGTGCTTCCGTTTCCCATTTCTGAGATTCGTTTTGGGTGAGAGTGGAGGTGAAGAATGAGGAGAATTGATGGGTGTGCTTTCTTGAGAGCAAAAGCTCTGATACCATATAAGGAATTTAGAGAAGAGAAGAATCGATATAATGAAATTGTTCAGTTCTATTGATAAGCCATATAGCTTTATATATAGTACAGAGGAGACTAACTGATATGAGAGATATATATATATATATGGTAGGAATATAAGGAGATCTACAACAATATTGACAAATTAAATACACGTGTGGTTTATATCTTAATAGTCTCATCAATAACCCTATATTGTTCTTGGCAAACAAGAAGTTTTCCATCTCCTGAACCCAATCAAGATAGTTGTTGTCGGTCAATGCATATTAACACTCATTTGTCTCGGATAGTCGGAAGGGTGTAGGTAGTAAGGAGAGTTATGGTCAGGAGTACTTCCATCATCTTAACCGTTGTTTTTTTTTTTTTTTTGTCTTCGTCGGCCATGGAGGATTTGGATTTTGGCGATTTAGAGTGTAGTGTGGACTGAGCGCGATAAAACTGCTCTAATACCATAAAGATTCTCAGAGTAGTTGATTTCTTTGTTTTTTTTATATCACACAGTAAAGAATTACAGAGAAAGCCTACATAGGTAAAACATAAAAACAACAAAGGAAACACAATATTCTAGGAGCTAAAGAATATTCAAGTAGTAAATTAAATTTGAAGACAGAAAAGGAGCATGTATCGATCATTTCAAAAGTTTGAAGGTCAAAATCTTGGAGTTTTTCAGTAAAATCACTTCGATTGGAAAACTAACTCAAAATGCTAAATTCTAGAAAAGAATCATTTGATTTTGTTAAGAATTAAGTATGTTATGGTCTTCCAAAGTCACGTGTTTAAATCTACCAGATTGCTTTACAAAAATAAACTTAAGAAAATGTGTTCAAATTCATGTTTTCTCCAAAGTTTTTTGTTTCTTTTGCTTAGGTTGAGATAAAAAGAACTTTATACTAGATGTGTTTTGTAGAAAACTTTTATCTAACCACTAGAACCTGCATGCAACAAAGCTAAATGAAACCAAACTTTTCAAAACCTGATTTTGATGTTAACTAGGGCTTGCATGTGTTCATCTTTAGTCTCACTTCGGTTTGATCATGGATTCTCACCATCTTTCTAACATGCAAGATGTTTTTGGTGAAAACTACAAACACTAATATGGGGCAAAAATATTCTAGCCATTAAAAGGGCATAGAATCCGAAAATGATGAGAAAACATGTTTGAACTTGCGTGTAGATGAAGAGGATGAAGGATATAATGAAGTCCCTTACCTAGATTTGATTTTGGGCTTCAAGAACACCCAAGAATCTTCAAAATTGCATGGTTCTTAGGAAAAATATGGCTGGAGCTTAAGAGATTTTTGAGAAAGAAAATTTTCTTGGTGGTTGGAAGTTAGATGGAGTGAAGGAACTAAGTGGAAATGTAGGTTTTCAAGTAAGATATATATATATATATATATATATATATATATATATATATATATATACATAGATAGATACACACATACATACATAGAGAGAGAGAGAAAGGTGGCCGAGTTTTGAGTGGAGAGAAGGAGAGAGAAGAGGATTTTCTTAGTAATTGGTATGATCTATAAATGTTGGTGGTTATATTTTATAAAATTTGAATAAATTTTTTAAATGTAAAGGTTTATTTGTAATACTTGAATCATGTAATTAATCCACAATTTAAATTCTAATGAAGGTGTATAAGTTTTAACTTATGATTTAATCATATTATAGTTAAGTTTATTTTAATTAGTAAACTAGCTAAATACTTAATTAATTTAATTAAGCATTCCATATATTTTTTTATTATTTTTTTTCAATATGATTCATCATATTTTGTAACAAGTTATGAGATTTGATCTTTGGGCACTTTATAACATAGTTGAAGCATTCACATATGACATATCCATGTGATTGCTTAGTAGAAGCTAGATAACTACTAATTGTTCTTAGGGATGTATTAAGTCGTGAGTTAGTTCGATTATAGCATCTACAATTAGGTTATATTTGTACATGCAAGAGGTGCGGTTCAAGTTTAGTACTAACCTGGGTTTTGACGGATGTCAAATGGTAGTCACACATCTGAATCTCACATCACCACTATTGTAGATCTCGTCGTATTCCCCCTTCGCCATGTCATACCAGATATTGTCCTTGTAATTTTTTATCACAAAAAATCAAAGTTGTTGATTACGCACCTCTAGATTTTATCAATTTCAAAATGAAAAAAGAAGTCACCAACACAAACAATCATAAAACATGGGTTTCGACCATATTCACTCTCAATTTCAAATCCTTTACATCACTTTATTAACATTTATGGTGTGTTTGACACGAAGCGTTTGACAATGTTTGAGAGCTTATAGATTCTAATGTTTAACAAAATGTTTCGTTTTAAATAAAAATCATCGTTTGATACTACAAACTTTTAACGTTTAATTTTAAACAAAACTCTTTAAATCCAAAAACTATCTCATGTTTTAAATAAATAAATAAGAGATGATAACAAGATCCAATATTTTCATCAAACAAAATGAATTCAAAGAATCCAGGCTTTAGATCTAGTCTCCATTAGTTTTAACTCTTAATCAAACAAATGAAATCAAAATTTGTTAGGATTTGAATAACCAAAATTGAAAATTTAATAATAAATAAATAAATCTAAACGTCTAAAATTGAACAAATCATAAATTTAAAATCTAAAACCTAAAAAATAATAATAATAAATAAATAAATAAATCAATGTATCGTTGCATAGGGTTTGTGGAAGTGACGTTGTAGTCAGTAGGTTTGCATTTGCACAAGGATGTTACGACATGGTTTTGATGGTGGATGGGTCTTCACAAAAAAGTAGAATTGTGTGGTTAAGATGGAGGATTGGGGATTGAACCATAGGAACATGACAGGGGATTGAACTCTGATTTGTTCTCAAAACCCTACCTGGTGTCAGCTAAAGAACATAAGGGGTTATGAATTGTTTAATGATTGGCAGGTTAAAAGATTTAATGAAAACAATCGTAAGTTTGACTTCTTCACAAAGTGTAGGGAGCTGGTTTCCATTTAAAGGTTTCTGGTTTTGATGGTTTTCATTAGTCGTTCCTTAATTCGTGCAGTCTTCTGGGTTGTTTAGTCAGTCAACTTGATCAGTTTATATTATTTTTTTAGTTTACGATATTGGTAAATTTTGTTGATAGTTTCCAACAAGTGCAATCGCCATCATATACATTAGTATGATCAATGAAAAGTACCAAGAGGGTTTACTTTGCGTTTATTAAAGAAAGTCTACCGTTGATGAACATTCTAAAAAAATTTAAATAATAAAAACAATAAAGATAAGAGATTCGATTAATACCAGCCTCCTGGTTTCATCATTCAACATTCCTGTTCCTTATCTGACATAATTTGTCTGGGCGTCTTTTCCTTTTCATTTCACTCTTAAGCTCTACATTTTTCCTTTAATGTCGCTCATTAGAGAATCACAACACCTCCATGTACCCTTTAGAGATATTAAATTCGCCACTAAAAACTTCACAACCTTGATCGGAAGTGGTGGATTTGGCAATGTTTATAAAGGAGAACTCTCACTTTCAGGTAAACTTACCTCTGTCGCTGTGAAGCGCCTACCAATTAACAACCATTCTGGTCAAGGTCTTAAGGAGTTCTTAACAGAGATTCAATTACTCTCCCGCTATAAACATCCAAATCTAGTCTCCCTTCTTGGTTATTGTGATGAAGATGATGAGAAGATCCTTATTTACGAGTACGCAAGTTATGGAAGCCTCGACAGGTACCTAACTATGTCTAATACCACGTTTCCACTCACATGGAAGCAACGAATCAATATATGCATTGAAGCAGCACGGGGTTTGGATTATCTTCATAACCATGTTGCAGAAAATCATAGAGTTATCCACAGGGATATAAAGAGTGCGAATATTCTATTAGATCACAACTGGAAAGCTATGATTTCAGATCTGGGTCTTTCCAAGATAGGTCGTGCAAATGAAAATGAGAGTTATCTCATTACAAATGTTGCTGGAACACATGGGTATTGTGATCCTGTGTATAGAAAAACAGGTATCCTCACAAAAGAGTCGGATGTTTATTCATTTGGGGTGGTGTTGTTTGAAGTCTTATGTGGGAGGCCGTGCTTCATGAACGTAGATGGTGAAGAGCGATTCTTACCCAAACTAGCTCAGACCTGCTACGAAAGAGGAAATTTAAATGATATAATTGATCATGATTTGAAGAAACAAATGGCCTCAGATTCCTTGAATATGGTCTCAAAGATTGCATATCAGTGCTTGCAGAATGATCGGAAACAACGACCCTCAATAGGATTGGTGGTAGAGAAACTTGAGAAAGCTTTGGATTTGCAAGTAAGTTCAAGCTTTGATTAAACCATGCATTTGTGGATTCTCTCATAGTGTTGATTTCTTACACTTCTCTTCAAATTTGTTTGGATGGTGCAGGAAGTTGACGAAAAATCGGTACGTAGGTTTAATATGTTTTTAAATTCAAGCAATTCCTTCATGTCCATGTGCGCAAAAGTATAACTCATACGCTTTTCTCATTTCAATTATTCATCAAACCTGAAATGAACTATCAATTTCAAAATCCATTTCGTGATTCCTGAATCTAGTCATTCTTTGTAGGTTATTGTGAATTAGTTTTCTCTTTCTATGTGTAAATTATGCACACAAAAATACCCATATACTTTCCCCTCAATTTACATTAATATATAAATAATTTCAGTTTAGGTTCTATATCTTAAAAACCATATTTTAACAAGTTAGCACAGATGAACTTAAGGTTATTTTATATGGGAATATTAAAAAATAAAAACAGTTTATGTTTTCAAAAGCATTTCTCTAGACTAGTGGCATGAGTAAACATCTAACAAAAGTAACAATAATCATGAAACATTTATTGTATTTACTTTGTAACAACCTAATATTAGAAGTTAGTTTCAAATAAGTTAATAGATATAGAGTTTCAAATCAAAATTTAACCGTATATAAAGATTTTCTAATATGTACATAAAAACATTAATATGTAACCTTAACGATACATATAATAAACATTAATATAATAAACATTAATTGAAGTATTAATTATAAGAAATATTATTATAATTAAATGTGTAATATTATGATAACTAAATGTAAAATATATTAATTATAAAAAATATTATTTGTAATTAATATTTATCACATTTAATTATGGTAATATTCTTTATAATTAGTGTTTTTTATATATTTACTTAGGATACATATTAAAAAAGGGAGCTGATCCGTACACAATAATTTTTCTCCATACACAACAATTGGTGCTTTAAAATGTTGTATTGTACAACTATATAATGCATGAATTTTTGTGTATGACAAAAAACTGTTGTGTACGAATCACTTCCCATTAAAAAATCTCTTTTTATATACCGCTAAATTTTGATTTGAAACTATATATCTATTACCTTATTTGAAACTAACTTCTAATATTAGGTTGTTACAAAGTAAATACAATAAATGTTTCATGATTATTGTTACGTTTGTTAGATGTTTACTCATGCCACTAGTCTAGAGAAATGCTTTTCAAAATATAAATTGTTTTGATTTTCTTAATATTACAATCTTTGAGTCAAATTCAAATGAGGCTGGAAAAGGCATGAGAACCAAAAACCTGATTGAGGTTCCTGGATGAGGTTCTTGGATCAAGTTCATCAGGCGGACATGATTTGTAGTAGTTACAAACTAGGAAGCGTGCTTGCAAACCTTTATCCAGGCAATCTTAATCAAATATGATCATTGTTTGGGTTCTCGACTTCTAATTATATCAATATAATTAATTCGTAATCACAAATCACTTTAATTTGAAATATTTTTTTGTTATAAAATACCAATTGTTAATAGCAATAACTACATTTTATAACCATAATAAGGAAAAACACGAAAAGTCTTGATTTTTCTAGAAAAAAACCTCTTATACTAATCTTTTCATTTTGCTTTTTTTTTTGTGTAGGTTACCACTTCACAATTGTTGGAGGGCATCACAATACTATTATCTTTGATATTGACAAGAAAACAACAAATAATAGTATTAATAATAATATTTTTATATTTATTATTTTTATATCTACTATTGATGTTACTATTATCACTAGTTAGTAGAACTGTATATAACTTCATTCCTTAGGTACCCAACCGGCCGTTCCCCTCACGCAATAATTTATGTTGGTAAAGTTGTCTTCCATCTGCATCTCTCTAGTAATATGTAAAAAATATAAGTGTAAATCCATAATGGTAATTCCATACCGGACTTAAGTGTCATTATTGATCAACTAAAATTTCCACTGTGTAATGTTTGGGATGGTTATAACTTATAATATTTACGTATGTTGTGCCGACGTCGAAAGCGAAATCCGGATAGTTATAGAAGAAATCAAAAGATATCAACAAGCAATCAAAAAAATTGAGATTGTTCTTGAACGAATATGAGAAAAAAATAGAACAAAATGAAAACCATTACTTCTTAGCAGTGTTGTAAATATCGGCCTAGGCGCTTGGCGGTCTGCAACTGATTACGATTAGGGGTGTTTGGCGGAAATTGGTTATACTCGGTCTCGGCGGTCTTCGGCGGTCCTTGGCGGGAAATTTTTCAAATTTTCAAATTTTCAAAATTTCAAATATTACACAAAAATTAACAAAATTTTAAATTTTTAAATTTTTAAATATTGAAAATTTCAAATATTATACCAAATATTTAAAAGTTTCAAATTTTCAAAATTTTAAATATTCAAATACTAATTATCTTAGGATGTATTAAATTTTAAAATATTTTTATTAGTAATTTAGGGTCTCCGATTAATCCCCGCCAAATCGATTAATCGTTTGATCCCAGTCAACCGCCGAGCAACCGTCGAGCGATTTTTACAACCATGCTTCTTAGATGAAAGTTGTAGTTGACATGATAAAGAATCCATTATATAAAAGAAAGAACTAAATTTGAGTTCATATTAAAGGGAATCGGCTTTATCCTTATCCTTTATGATTTTTCATATATATCTCTTAGTTTCCTATTTTATTGATTGTATTTAGCTGTCAATTGCTGTCAATTGTTTTACTCCTCATTCACGTATTGTATATATAGCCCCTTCGGGTTTTCTTGATGAATAAGATAAGAAGAATATTTTAAACAACATATTCGGTTTTTATATGGTATCAGAGCAGGGATATCTCACCTGCTGAACGACCATGACAGGAGGAGAAACACCCAGCAGCAGCTCTTCGACCAAAAATCCATCATCGGATCCTGCTTCACCCTTCTACATCCATCCTACCGACTACCCTCGACAGATTCATGTCAATGAAGTTCTCAGCGACAACAACTATGTCGATTGGGCAAGAGAGATGAAGGACTTTCTCTTGGCAAAGAATAAATCGGGCTTCATTGATGGAACCTTTATCAAACCAACAGAAGATGGTGTGGAACTACGAGCTTGGGAACAATGTGATGCTCTAATACGGGGGTGGATGACAGCTTCGATGGAGAAGGAGATACAAAATAGTGTTAAATATGCTAACACATCCCAAGAAGTTTGGGAAGATCTTGAAGAGCGGTTTGGAAAAGAGAGTGCGCCTCGCGCGTATGAACTAAAACGGGCACTAACGATGTTGAGACAAGATAATACTACTATATCGACTTATTTCACTAAATTGAGAGCCATTTGGGATGAGATCCATATGTTTCACCAGTTCCAAGATGCACTTGTGGTAAGTGCACATGTGATCTTGGAAAACGACTCGTTCAGTCAAGAGAAAAAGAGCGTGTCTATGAATTTCTTATGGGACTCGACGAAGTATTTGGAACCATTAAAACCCAAATCTTGAGCACCAAACTGATGCCAAGTCTTGGAACCACGTACCACCTTGTAGCAGAAGACGAGCAACAACGAAGCATATCTGCTTCAAGAAGAAATTAACATCACTGAAGCTGCAGCCTATCAGGTACGTAACCAAGCACCTGACAAAACGAATTCAGAAAGACAACTCAACACCCGTGAAGGCCTGAAATGTAAACACTGTGGAAAGAATGGGCATACCATAGATGGGTGTTTCGAAAAGATTGGATACCCAGAATGGTGGGATTCTCGCAACCGAAAGCAAACAGGAGACCAAAGAAAACCTGTCAAACCAAAACCAAAAGCAGCCAATGTCAAAGTTGAGTCTAGCCCGATACATGGACTTAATTTTGAGCAATACTCAAAATTAATTAAGCAATTGAGTGAATCCACAATGAAACCGGAAGCCAACATGGCTCGTAAGTATAATTTTAATACCCCTTGGATCATTGACTCAGGTGTTACCGAAAATATTGCATGCAACAAATCCGTTCTCTCAAGTATTAAAAGGTCTAACCAAGAAGTTCATGTTAGCATACCAAACGGTGATGATGTTCCAGTTCAAGGAATTGAGACTGCATGTCTTCCTAATGACACAAAAATTGATCGTGTTTTATATATTCCAGACTTTAGATGCAATCTTCTTTCTGTCAGCAAATTTACGAAAAATTTCAATTGCTTTGTGATGTTTTTTCCTGATTTCTGTCTCATACAGGATTTACATTCGAGGAAGCTGATTGGCACGGGGAGATGTGAGAATGGTCTATATCAACTGGAAGGAAAGGACAAAAGAATTGCAGTAATGATGGCAAAGTTTGATTCAAATATTTGGCATAGAAGGTTAGGGCATGCATCCAATAATAAACTTCAACACATTAGTTCCATAGGAAAAACAATTAATGTTGAACATTGTGATTCTTGTGTAAAAGCGAAGCAAACTCGACTTCCTTTTTTAGATAGTTCTATAAAAACTACTGCATGTTTTGATCTTATACATTGTGATATTTGGGGAGGTTATCGTGTACCCTCTACTTCCGGTGCTCATTATTTTTTGACAATCGTTGATGATTTTAGTAGATGCACATGGGTATATTTGATCAAAAACAAATTTGATGCAAGCAATAGTATGATAGTTTTTTGTAAAATGATAAAAACTCAATTTGGGAAGCAAGTCAAGAAAATCCGTAGTGACAATGGAGGGGAGTTTGTCTCCAATCAAATGGTACAATTTTATGAAGATAATGGAATTATTCATGAAACGTCTTGCATACACACACCTCAACAAAATGGGGTAGTTGAGAGAAAGCATAGACATTTGTTGGAAGTAGCACGAGCCTTACGGTTTGAAGCAAACCTGCCAATAAAGTTTTGGGGAGAATGCATGTTAACAGCCACCTACTATCAAGATAAGAAAAGATAAGGGTTGTTAGTTAGATTTTTTCAAATATAAGATATGTATTCTTGTTGTATTATCAGATCCTTGAGATTAGGATCTTATAGTTG